CATGGTTAGGAAACAAAGGCAAAGGCAAAAGGCAAAGGCAAAAGCAAAGGATGATGGGAAAAGGCAAGGGAATGATGACTGCGGGAGAGGGGGATGAGGAGGGGGTGGGCCCCCCATGCGTAATTATCTTTCTTTTGCGGTCCTCCTCGTTTTTCACTGGGCGAGAGGTGCCGGTCCCACATACGGCCCACCCGCCCCCTTGTCTTTGCACACGTGGAACCCTGAGCCAACCACAGTGAAAGCAGGCGATGGGATTTTAAATGATTAAAAAATAATAAAGAAAAATTAAATCACTTCACGTATTGCTGCTTTCTAATGCCTCCCATCACTCCTCCTTTATGTTTGCTTAACGCTTTCCTTCTCCCTTATCCTCTCTCTCTCTCTCTCTCTCTCTCTCTCTTTCTCAGTATCTGTCTTCCTTCTTGTCATCGATCTTCACAGGCGTACGTTTGAATTGGGTGCTCTGCAACTTCCTCAATACTTGGATCCCCTCTCTCTCTCTCTCTCTCCGTCGACTATTTAGTCCATCTCTCTTTCTCGTTCGAACCAACCAGTCGCAGTGTTTTGATCTCCCCTTGGTAAACTTCGCTGCACATATGTCTCCGTGCTTGGGTGTCCTTCAAACTCCATGAGAGAGGAATTAAATACTGTGATCCCTCTCTCTCTCTCTTTCTCTCTCTCTCTTCCGGCACTTCACCAAATTCTGAGTTGGGTGTCCTACCAAACTGCATAAAATAGGACCATCCATAACTCTTCCTTTCGGGGATCTCTCTCCCACTCCAACTCTTCAGCCCCATGCACATCAACGCTTGAATCTTGGGTGCTCTACGGACATCTAGAAAAATGGAGGTCGAAGCTTGAGTCTCCCTTGGGATCCTTCATCTGCCACTCTTTGAGCCATAAAAGCATTTATAATTGCTTGTTCTTGGAAGCGATTCAGAGGTGTACTGAGTTTGTGGTGCTGCCCCCCCCCCCCCCGTCCGCTTCCCCACCACCCTATCGGACCTCTCGCTCACAGACCATAAAGCCGGTAGCATGGTGTGATCCGACATGGAGGGCGAAGCAGGCGGCCCCCGACGGCCAAACTTCCCTCTCCAGCTGCTCGAGAAGAAGGAAGAGGACTCGTGCTCCAGCTCCGGTTACCCCTCGCTTGCTATCTCCTCCGGCCACACCGGCGGCGGCGGCGGCGGCTGCAGCCATGATCCTGCCGCCAATCCTGCTAGAAAGCTGCCGCCTAAGCGGAGTTCCACGAAGGACCGGCACACCAAGGTCGACGGCCGCGGTCGCCGCATCCGAATGCCGGCCTTGTGCGCCGCGCGCGTGTTCCAGCTGACGCGCGAGCTCGGCCACAAGTCCGATGGCGAGACCATCGAGTGGCTCCTGCAGCAGGCCGAGCCGGCGGTGATTGCGGCCACCGGAACCGGCACCATCCCTGCCAACTTCACGTCCCTCAACATCTCCCTCCGCAGCTCCGGGTCCAGCATCTCGGCTCCTTCCCACCTCCGAGCGGCGAATTACTTCAACACCGCGGCCACTGCACTCGCCGGCCAGCCCCTCAGCAGGTTGCACAACGAGTGGGACTTCAGCGGCGGCCCCGGTTTCTCCTCCGAGGGGCCATCGTCAGCGTCTTCGGCGTCCATGCTTCTCAACTTCAATTCCGGTAGCATCGGGCTCGAGGGCTCATCGGACGCCGACATCGGGAGCATAAGGAAGCGCAGGTGGGAGTCGGAGATTCACCACCAACAGCAGCAAGCGCAGCATCAGATGGCAGGGTATAGCCAGGCGAGCCACGGCGGCCGGATGCCGGGAACGGTGTGGATGGTGACAAACCCTAACACACAAGGCATGCTCGGCGGCGGGCGCAGTGGAAGCGGCGGTGAGTCAATTTGGACGTTCCCTCAGCTGGGCGGCAGCACCAGCCCCACCATGTTCAGAGGATCCCTCTCCAGCGGGCTTCATTTCATGAACTTCCCCACTCCCATGGCCCTGCTGCCCAGCCAACAGCTCGGGTTGGGCTCCAGCACCGGCGGCGGCGAGGGTCACATGGGGATCCTCGCAGCTCTCAACGCGTATCGGCCGCCGCCCTCCACCTCCGAAGCCGCGCCGTCACAGTCCCAGCAAGCACTCGGGGGGAGCCAGCGGCACGACACGTTGAACACCAGCGATTCTTAGTCCTCCCAACTCTCCATGAATTCATGTCTTCTTCTTCGTCTTCTGCCGCTGCTTAATCTTTTGCTTTTCCCTCTCATCATCGGTTGATTATCGTATTTGTTCTGATGACAACATTTCGCGTGATACCAATGCAAGCCATCGTTTTGTGTGACTGATCGACGGAGAGAAACTCTAGCTAGGGTTTCATCAGCTGCAGCACTAAGCCAGCCTTGATACGATGATGCTCTTCCTAGGGTTCTTATCCCAGCCGTGATCTTAGCCAACGCCGGTCCACCATCTCTTCCTCATTCCCTCGCACAGGGATGGAAAGAAAGGTATGGAGAGCGAACAGGAACAAGCTGCAGGCACGCAGCGGAAAAGAAAAAGAAGACGCATAGGGTACTCATCAAACAGTGAGTCAACTTTAAATTTCAAATGAGCGAGTCATCTGATCAATGATTAGTAGGTGTTGTTGGAATGAGCTCCTTCTAATCTGTACAAGCAATCATTCTTCTCCTATGTGCTGCCTTACCTGTAAATGCATGCTGGTGCCTACAAAAGTTCAGCTCAGCTCAGCTCAGCTCAGCTCCATGCATGCCTTGTTTATTTGAACCAGTGTGGGCAGAGGAAGATGGACGCGAGGAGGAAGACATGGCAAAAGGCCAAACCGGCATAATTCCATGCTCGACTTGTCGGTTGTTCTCTTCCCTATCACATCTAGCTGTCACGTTGAGCTGATGGGCTGTATAGAGAAACCCTACCCACATGTAGTCTTATCCTCTCCTCCCACTGCTTTTAAGCTCCGCCTCTTAATAAAGTAGGCAACTCTTCTTCTTCCCGCACATTAATTATCAGCTCCACCCTCTTCTCTTCATGCAGACCGAGAGTGAAAAGAAGATGTCGCATGCATGTTAGGGAAGATCGAGTGAGACTGATGAAACCACTTACTTTGGATCTCAATGTTCGCTCTCTTTCTACTCTCGCAAACAACATCTGACACAGGTAGCCACTTTATGGAGGGATGATGATCCGTGTGTGCTTGCGAGGTTTCTTTCTCCTCCTTGTTATGGGAGAAAAGTCTCGTTTCAGGCTTTTACCATATGATGCTTTACTTTTCCTTTCTCTCGAGCTCGATGTATCATTTCTGTGTGATGCGTTCATGATAAGTCCACCAGTGGAACACTTTGAGATCCAGCCATGTTCATCCTACAGTTGCCAAAGACTGTATACTTCGTGTTCACAAGTCCTGTGGCCACAGTTTTCAACTTCCGAAAGACCTGCATATATAATGGTGATGGAATATTAATTAGAGAGATCTGTGTATATAATTGACATGAGATTCCAATTTATCTTCTGATATATACTTCATTTTCGACAAGATGTTCTCCTCTTAACACTTCAGATTTCTCTGACAACAAGTCATGCAATCTTGAGTGCGTTTAGTGTCAAGAGTACATATTTGAACTAAATAAACAAAAACTCTGATGCTAGATTTTAGCAATTTACATATTAACTATCTCATATAATTAGTTACATTTAATATTTCGATTCTTATATTTTATGAAAGTGAAATATTTAATCTTGTTTCTTCTCATACCGTCAATTTTATTGATGAAAATATCGTACATGTTCAGTGGTAAATCATATGATATTTATGTTAGTAAAATTAATGATATGAGAAGAAATGAGGATAAATGTTTCACTTTCAAAAGTATATGAATCCTAATATAATTTTTGAAAAATATAAAAAATGGGATGATAAAGATAACTAATTACAAGGGTTAATATGTTATTAGCTCTTAAAGAAATAATATACCATTTAGAAAAAAAATAAGGAAACTTACCCCTAATATATATATATATATATAGTTGGAATTGGATGAGATAAGGATGTCGAATGCACTGTTGGGATCACTAGTTTTATGATGGTTGACACAATTGATAGGTGATACCAACAAGATGCAATTTTTGATCAAGATCATGGAGTTAATTATGAGCATGATGGAATCGATTAAAATACCAAATTGAAGATCGAGCATTCCAAATCGAAGACATATTATTGCACAATTGATGTTACAAAAGTATCAACTCTTTACAAAATCAATAGAAATGAAAGCTTTCGACTATCAACTTAGTCTGCAATTTTTTTGTACTTCTAAATTATATGTGTTTTGGAAAGCATTCTTCGATCATAAACATAAAGAGTAACAGTGAATATATATATATATATATTCAATGTCATCCATCAAAGCATGTGGAAGCCATCATCCGATGGGATCTAATGGTCCACGTAACAGTAGAAGCATCACGTGCCGCGCACGCGGGCACTAAGCCACCCGCACGTACCCCCTCCGCGTTCTTCGGGCGCTTCTGTGGACGACTCAAAAGCAGCAACACTAAATCGACTGTTGTAGTTCTACCCGCAGCGCCCTGTCTATAATGATTGGACAAAAGGGAAGGCACTCCTTGTGGATCCCACACTTGATGGCCCAGATTCTGTGCGGTAGTCATGTGGGCCTCTGCGTAGTGGGTTAACGATGACAAAGTAGTGAACATAAATAATTTACGTTCGCTTACCCACACAACCACCCGACATGCCATTGGATAAAATGATTGATATTCTTCGGGGCCCACTGTCACCTGGGCTTATTCTTTCCCGTTGGTGGGTGAACCACTCCATCGCACAACAGTCCGATGAACAAGCAAACAGAGATTGATATTTGAATGTAGGGATTGAAATCTACAAGCTGCAACAAATTCCATTTGATCTTGGGTAGAGTCATCCGAAGAGCCACAAGAAGGCTCCGGCCACCGACACAAACACAAATTACAGGTAGCAACCACACTACATCCCCAATCCTGGAAAATCGATCGATCATTCAACAAGCCGAAACATCATTCGACTTCACATCTCAAGCCTAAACGAATCATCCGGTCGTCTTGTACCTCCCTCGCAGTAGTTACTAAGGTCAAAATTCGTCACTGCATGCACTCCGCGAAGTTGAATGGCTGCAATGTCATATGCCTCAGCAGCCTCTTCTTCAGTATCTGACGTTGACGGAAGTTCGGCAATGGTGTGAGTAACATTGACCTCAAATTCCAAAAGATGAGACGAATCTAGGGGATTGCTCACCAAAGGTTCCGAGGTAGATGTCCTTGGCGTCCTTGAGGTCACCAACTCGACCGATTCGAGCTTGCCACTTGCCATCTTTTCGTCTTCTGGTCCGAAGATGACATACCAAAATGCAACAGAAGCTTTGGTCAGTAAGTGACGTCGTAACGAAAGTAAAAAAATGGCAGTGTCTGGAGATGATCAATGTACCAAGCACAAAAGTTGTTTCCGTGACTTGGACCTGATCACACATGATCAGGTTGCAAAAGAGCAACAACGTTATCATGGCGCCAAGGCTCGTTCACGGAGGACCAACCAAAGCCATGAAGGTTGCATTTTATGAAAAAACATTTAATTAACCGAAAATATAACATGAATGAGAGGACAACCTCGTCACTCCTCTGTAAACGGAAGCCCCTCTGGAGAAACAACTACTTTTTCTGTTGAAGCAAATATCAGGATAAGCTAAAAAGATAAAAAGCAAAATGATATGATGATTCAGAAATTATTCAGTTTCGTCAGTATACCTCCTCACGTAGGCAACAAATTCCTCTTGAGACATAGTCTTCATGTTTTCGAGTTCATTTTCATAATCAGAAACCTATAAATTTCAATAAATGCATTAATAAATCATGAATTCCAAACATCGTATTAAGAAGATAAAAAATTACATATATCTTACAGGGAAGTTAAGCTTGGTGGCCGGGCCTGGACCCCAGTATTTAAGAGCAGCAAGATCATGTGCACGTGCCGCCATCTCCTCAGAAACATAGCTACCTGCATCAACTTATCAAAACCACTGTAAAAACAAGTTTTGCTTGATAGACTAAATGAAAGACACATTATTATCGATACTGACCTAAATACACTGAAGCACAACCGTTGCAACAGCCATTTGCAATGATCATAACCACACATATGTCCCAGAATTGCAAACCAAGAAAAAGGAATCAGAAAAACATCTCTATCTCAGCAACATGTACTTGTCATGACGAGATTCAACAGAATTGAATTGTAAAAACAAGGAATTAAAGAATGAAAGAGTGAAGAGCTACTGCACACCAAACAACAAAGAAGGCAACCATGATTCATCAACACTCCTGCTAAAATACAATGCCAACAACTCCTGAAGGATGGAATCATAGAAAACAAAACTTTACATCAAACTCCAAACTGACTGAAAGTCCATTAATGAATACATCGGCAAATCTCTTACAACTCATGAACAAGTGAGCCCCAAGTCACCAAAATGAAAAGAAGTATAGAGTAAGTCCGGAGTCTACTAAGTTGCATTTGGATATATATATATATATATATATATACACACACACACACACACACACACACACAAATTAGAGGACTGACATCTTCAATTATCTCAAGCCAATAGACCTCTATTTTAAGCTTTATATTGATCTAGGACAAGGAGAATGGAATTTCTAGGAGAAAATGGTCTATAAGATACAGATTTGAAAGAAAAGGCATTTGCTGAAATTTTAACTTCAGACAAAAATGTTCTCATAAAAAATGACATATAGAAAATACAGAAATACATGATTTAGGCCTAACCATGAATTCTTGGGCTCAAAACAGAACAAGGGAACTTGATGCTACAAGAATCTCAGAACAACAGTGAAGAATTAAAAAAAAAAGAAAACCAAAAAATTAATCTATGAAAGAATACAATTAGACTTGATCAGAAATTCAGAAATTATAAAGTGGGCTCTACAGATAACTTCAATCATGTTGAACTTCACTCCTGCATCAGCGGTCATATCTAGCCACAATACATCGGAATCCCAGAACACCAGCGAATAATTCAAATAAAGATCACCAAAATTTTGAATTTATGAAAGAAGACAACTCAACTCGATCCAAAATTATTATCTGGACTTCAAAGTTAACTCCAATCCATGTTGAACTTGATATATTCCTGCATCAGTGATCATATCTAGCCACTATACACTATAATCCCAGAACAACAACAGTGAAGAATTTGATTAAAGAACACAAAAAATCTGAATTTATGAAAGATTACAATTCTACTAAATCTAAAATTATTATCTGGACTCCACAGATAACTCCAATCCATGTTCAACTTGATATACTCCTCTATCAGTGGTCATTTCTAGCTACAACACAGTACTCCTCTATCAGTGGTCATTTCTAGCTACAACACAGTCAAATCTGGGAATAGGGTAATCCTAATTTATTGCACTTAACAACTGATAATGTATAAATAAAAATCTTTTTCAATATTATACTTAGAAAAGGAGAAGAAAATGCCTACAAGGAAGTATGCATCCACAACCAATCAGGAAAGAAGTATAGCTAATCGGACTGATCTAATCAACATGTCTTCTTACCATGTGGATTTTGTGCTGCTATATCATCCCTACTAGTAATTGATGATGCACTATAGATCTGAATGTTGGACAGTTAAGAAATAACATTTACAAAAAAAAAAAGTTTGTCGTTTAGATGAGAATATTGAGATTGATACATGGAGTTACTAGGAAAGATATAAAAAGTCATTTGTAAATAAATTAGGGCATAGCTTCAATATAAGATAAGATGAGAGAGAATCATTTAGGATGATATGAACATGTGCAGAGGAGACGTATATATATTGTAGATATAAGAGATGAAGCAATTGCTATTAGCGATATGATGGGTGATGGAAAAAGACTAATAAGATATTACTAGACACTATAAATAATGATTTAAATACTAACAAGTTAACTAAGGATGTGATTTTTTACGAAGTTCAATAGTAGCAAAAGATCCATATATTACTCCTGCTAAATGAAATGAGATGTACAAGGATACAAATGGAATTTGTAACAGTGTGTGTGCGTGCATGTTTCTATGCATGTGTTTGCAAGTGAGAGAGGAAAAGAAAGAGAGAAGGGGGAGCATTTAGAGGAAGCATAAGTTTATGTAGGAAAGTGATGACAGGAGAAAAGAAAGTGCTAAACAGATTTGACTCCTTCAAAAACCACTCGAACCTCCTTGGCACCACTAATTGTCCATTGAGTTCCATATATAATATGCAGGTAAGTGGAAGATATGACCCATCCAATGTAAATTGGATAATTAATCCTTTGAGATCCTAAATTCCATCTCTTCTTTGTTTCTTTTTTTGTATCATAATCAATAAGTATGAAACTCATTATCAATAACAATAGGGATACTAGGTAGTAAAGCTTTCAACAGGATAGACATTAGCCCTTGCAAACAGGTAGTCATCAGGCAAAAAGATTTATAAAGAAGTTGAACATCATTGCATCTTCAAATATACTTGAATTGAATATATTATAATAAAAAGTATCAAGTTGTTTATCTCATATCCACTATATGACTGGATATTGCTGCAAGTCCCATAGAAGCCAAAATGGTAAGACTATCAATGAAAATAAGCATGGAAAATTGCAAATGGAGAGATCATCACCGAGAAACTTTTTTACTTCAGCTCTTACAAGAGAAACATTGCCATATAGTCCTAAACTTCAACACCACCAAAGGTACATAAGTAACCTTCTAGGAATTAGAACCGAAAATTCATTATTTCATATATTAGTGTAACTATAAGATATTGTGTCATCCAATGCACCAAAAAATTAGCAATTCCATGATCATAAATTCCAAGAAGTAAACTCAATGGGACAGATAGTTGTCTAATAGTCAAGGTGATCATTAAGTCTCTTATACAATAGCTCAAAGGAGCACTTAAAATTGTTCTCTCTCTTGAGACTCAACCAGTCTAGCTTATTGTTATGCAGGGAGCCTAGGCAAGTACAAGTGCCAGAGCAACCACCACCCATAGAAATAGAACATGAAACAGTACAATGACTTAATGGGGTCAGAAATGTGAACCCAACAGAACAGGAAAGCCTCATAGTTGAACTTGATGGCAGTCTTTTCTGCTCTCTTGTTAAGTCTAACTGAATGCCTTTTTAGGGCCTTGATGATTCACACACCCTAGGATGCCTGGAGAAGGAAATAGGGGAAATATTCAATTACTTCTTAAGGTCGTGGGCTCCTGATGCTTGAAACAGGACTTCCAAGTCCTTGCTGTCAAAGAACTCAAGCATGAGTGGCAGTCACGATGAAGGTTGCAAATGCAGCTGACGTGGCATGTGGAAGGCACGACTTGTGAAAGTGAGTGAGACAGCATACAGTCAAGGGAGATGTGGTAATTAATGGACATGCACATAACTTGTATGTCTGATTTGCAAAGAGGATGGGGGAAGGGAAGTTGAAGCTCCATAATAGAAACTCAAATGTAGGAAAGGGTCCAGTGTAGTCAATATCTGATTGTTAAGAACAATGGCTCACCATTGTTATACTGTAGATACCTAGAGATAATTCCCTCCCAGCTTCTTCTTTCATTTTATCAAGCCGCCCTTTAGCGACAATGATGACCATTCCTTGGTAGCTGATAATAACAATCCAATTTGAAATCTAATTGAAAAGAAGTACTGTTTTCCATAAAAGATTAACACAAACTAGTACCTAAGAATGCATTCTCAATTCCATCAATGTATAAACTGTTTTCCAAAAGGACAAACACAAACTAGTATCTAAGAATGTATTCTCAATTCCATAAATGTATAAAGCAGTATCCTAAATGCTCTTCACAAAAGCAGTTTTAAACACACTTTTCATCTCTTTTGAAGAGAAAATCCTTGGTGAGATACAATGTTCATGCCATGGTTGCATTAGTAACTTCCATAAATGCAATACAATTGCTACAACAAGGCAAATAAACTGTAACACATACTAAAAAATAAAAAATAAAAACTGTAACACATACCATGTTTGCCTTTTCGTTTCCGGCCTTCAACTCTGCTTGTGTTGTCCCATAGATGTGCTTCAAATTTTCCACTCCACTTTAACCTGTAACCAAATCACGAACAGATCATCATGAAGTTCCAAAAATCAGTTTCAAGGCCTTCATCAAGGTTAAAGTTTCTCTTGGATAAGCTCTGCTTCAGAACTCACTTAGTAACTCCATGATAACTGGATGATCTTGGTGCCGCATACTTCTTCATGGCCGCAGCCACAAGAGTACTGACCTTTTGGGGAACCTTATCAGGCAAAGCAACCATGGAACCACCATCAGTAGCTTCTTCAAAATCAATCTGCTTATCTGCAACATGATCAATAGCCTTAGTTGCATCATCAATGGCCTTTGTCCTCTCGTAGCTAGTAGATGGCATGTCTGAACCATTACGTTCCTTCCCAGCAGCATTATCCACTTCATCGACACTATTGAATGCATTCATATCATGATGGGATCCTGACAGAATTTCTGAGCCATCAGATTCCTTTCTAACAGTAGGTCCCTCATCATCAACAACATCAGTAGCATTGACATCCGCAATACTTATTGGTGCTGCTTCCAAGCCATCGGATTCCATTCTAACAGCCGTTTCCTCACCAGCAACACCAGCAGTAGCATTAATACCACCACTGCTCACATGTGCCACTTCCGCTCCATAGGAATCCTTGGCCACTGCATTCTCAAAAAAATCAGGTTTCTTCTCAACGACGGTCGTTTCTATTCGGGAATCAGATATGGTGCCAGGTACATCATCTACCACAGAATCAACTTCCAGTCCTACAACTACTGAGCCTTCAGCTCCAGCTTTTCCATCTCCACGGGGGCAGGTTACCATTTCAGACCCCTCGTTAAGAAGCGGCAGCATGGGGTTATGATTCCCGGGAAGTTCTGCATCTTCCAGTGATTTCAATGGTTTTCCTGATTCGCTCATCCGCGCAAAATCCTGCCTTCCACTCTTCCACAGTCGAAAATTCTTTCCTCCAAACCCTAATCCCCTTTCTTGGAGTAAATCTTACAGCTTTACAATATTTCATTCAATGCCTTCAACACCAAAAACAAAAATTTCGATTGAATAATCTGTGAAGAAGTTGCCAAAGAGATACCAAAAGCATGAAAAACAAAAAAATTTAATCGCTTCCAATAATTTCCGTGCAGATCCAAACCTTAATACGTTTTCACAAGATTAAAAATTTGCGTTCATCCCCAAATTTTGCATAAAAGAGAAGTTCTTTGAGAATCGTACGCATGATGAGATTAGGGGGAAATCAAGGAAGCGTGCCTCGGATCGATGAAGATTGCATCATGGGGAACGCCTTACGATTTGTGCTCGATCGGTCGAAGGGAAGGCAAGGAATACGTTTCGGATAGGGTAAGTTGCGACGTGGATTTAAAGTCCCGAACGGGGTGACCTGACCCATCGAAGGAGGCAGTGGATCAAGTGCAGCGGAGCACGAGACTCCCGTGACACGGGTCTATCATCCACCGTTCAATTGCTTCTTGGTGCGGATCTCAATGCCCAGCTCACCGAACCGCGATGACTGAGCCGGAGATTGATGTACGTACGACGCGTGTGGCTCGGGACCCGCACGCGCGAGGCGGTGCGGTCACATGGACGGCACGGATCTCCAGGTGGGATAAGGGTCGGCCCCGAGCGCGGAGGACCGTCCGATGGGATTGATGTGGGCCGTGACGGTATACTGCTGAAGTCCGTAAGGAAGCCCATCGATCAGACGGCTGTCGTGAGAGCGGATTGATTAATGAACGGACGTGATTCGTCACTTCACTTGGTACCGATTGTGATGGACCGGCTCAATTCGACTTAACGGGCTTACGTAGGCAAATATTTCGAGACATGGTGGGCCGAAACGTGCATCCCTTACTTGATGATTCGTGCAATTTTCAAGATTCGTAGACAAATCGTTGGAGAATTGGGGGGCTTGGGTAGGCAACTTTTTAAGATTCGTGAAATATTTTGATTGATCACTAAGGATTAAGCCATACATGTAGCTACGTCATATGTAGAGTATATGGATATTTTTAATTGGAATTTCTCTTTTTTTGGGTTCTGCTTTCTCATAAAAAGATGGGCGGTAGAGTGGACGGTTGAGATCTACTCGCGTCCTCTCCGCTCGTCTCTTCCCCCGCCCAACACGCGGCGATTAAACCCTAGGTGGCTTAACCCTTCCCACCTCGTTATCTGTCGGAACGTCGTCCGTCTCTCTCTCTCTCTCTCTCTCTCTCTAGGGTTTCAAGTGCATACACCCGTTATCCTTCTCCTTGAGACGGATTTGGAGCTCCTCGGCGCCTCCAATGGCGATCACTGACTACCTGGAGGGCATGAACGACCCCCGGCTGAAGCCGCGCCTGCTGCGGTCGCTAGTGAGGGACCGCCTACCCGAGGAGAGCGGCCCCGCCCCGAGCCCCTCCGAGCTCTCATCCATCCTCGCGTCCATCAAGACCCACAGCCTCCTCTCCGAGCACGTCCCCGATCTCTCCGACGCGAAGCTGATCGAGGCCTGGCGGACCGCCGTGGATGCCTGGATCGAACGTGTCCTGTCATTGGCCTCCAGTAAGATGGTATGGGTTCCGCTGCTTTACGATTCCTCCTGCTTAGAGATACCGAGCTGTCACTTTTTATGAGGTACTATTTTATATCTTTGTGTTTAGGGAAAATTTTCCATGCAGTGGAAGGCAAAAATTGCGGATAAAGCAATTACTATTACTGGAAGTCTGCTTTAACAGCACAAGTCTTTTTGTACTGATCCATTCAACTTTGCTGGTGCCTGTCATTCGCCTTAAGATTTGGTGTTCTGGTTATTCGAGCACAACTTTATCATGTTTGAATAGTCTAGTCAAGAATATCAACATTGTGATTACTTGTTTATGCAGTTTTAATGGTGAAAATTGAAATTAATAGTTTGTTGCTTTTGTTGCTATTTAGCATGTTTCTTAAAGTTGTTGAGCTTTGGCTTCCGTTTATTCATGTAGATGAACATTTTCACCTTCATCTGCACTTTTTTCTTAGTGGTTGTAGCCAAACAAATGAACATTCACCTAAGCTGCTTTCGTTTCTTGAGTGGTTGTAGCCAGACAAACTTTGGGTGGGTGTATCTTTGCTTGGTGTAAGTTGTGAAGAGTGCAGCTCTGCTCGTTTCATGGCATCATATTCTCTTTGGTTCCAGAAGCTCCTGTTAGGTATACAGGTAAACTTGTTACGACTGCATTTTTACCGTCTCTGTTGGCATTATTTTCCCAATCATATTATGTTTTTGCCTAATTCAAGTTTTGTTTAGGAATCTTAAATGATTGTATGTATTGAATTATGGAGTCTCCCTGTTGTTTTTTCCACAGTAATAGATGTTTCAAACAACTCTGCCTTTACTATCATGTGGAGCATTTGTGATCTATTGGTGTTTTTGTTAGCATTTTAATAACTCTGCTAATTATTATACTTCAAATAAGAAATCAATATATCAACTCATTGCTTTCAGACATGTATTCATGTATGCAATTTTATAGAGGATACATCAAATGTTAACATGGAAAGCATATATTGCAATGGTTGTTTTACTTTTCTTTTGCTGTGAGCAGATACCATCCAGCTCCAGTTTTGTAAAAGTGGCTGTTTGTGCTTCCTTATCTGATTTTTTCACGAGGTTTGTTGACTTCTGAGCTCATATTTACTGATAGTTCAGACTATTGATTTGTTGTATATTCTTACGGATACAAGTAATTGAAGAACATTTCAGGTTCACTCAATAGCAGCACCTTCTTGTTTGTTGCCTCTTCCAACTAACTGATTGATTTGTCTTAATTAAATGAACCAGTTGTTGCATTGTTTTCTGACTTATGCTTGAATGTCTTCGCATTGGGCTGAACCAAATTGATCACGAGTCTTCAGATGTGTGGAGAGAAAATTCCATTGGTTGCTAGAAAAGAACTGGAACGTCATAAGAAACCATTGGTTTTTTTTCTTTTCATTGTGGAACAGTTGAATATGCAAAATATGCAAAATGTTAACAAATTAATGACACATAATGAGAAAAAAGAATTTCATATTGTCACTTGTTGATTATGAAATTCTGATTTAAGTAGCACGAAGCAGGTCCAACTATGGATTTAGGTTGTGTTAGTGCAAATTTGAGGAAGCAGCAAGGTTTAGAAAGATAAGGTAGGATGTATTTTGTATCTATGTATATTATTGTATATTTGTCTTTCATCAAGCATTGTACACTTTCTTTGCCTTGAGAGAGGATCCAAAAATTATCTTTTAGTTGAACTAATTCTTACAATTTTATTTGCATTTAACAAGGTTTGTTTGAGATAAAGTGATGCCATATTTCTGAAGGAAATGGTTCAAGATAGACTGGATTACATCTTACTAATCTTGGTTCCAAATATTAGGAATCGTGATTCTTATAAAGCTTCTGGATTATGGAAATTTGGAATTTATATTTTATAGTTTTTGCAAAGTTCCTGCTGCAAGGATTCCAATATACAACCTTCATAAATATCATTAGTTCAGAACCATTTTAATTCTGACTCTGAACATTTCATGTACTCTATCTTTATTAATCTATTCTCAGTTTTTTGTGTTCTGTGATGTTTTAGTAGTTTTTAGGCTTTAATGAACCCATGATAGAGATCAAATGAGTATTAGCTGCCACATTAGTGTGTAGAAATATAACCAACAATTTACTGGTGGCCATTAATACTTATGGAAATATTTGTTCAAGTCTAACTTAAATCTTTCTTCACAAAGAGAGGTTAAGATAAAGCAAATGTCATACACTTATGTGTTTCTTGAATAAAGAAGTTTAATGTACTACAGACATTTCCTCTTGATTCTGTCTACTCTGTCTATATTTTCTTATTTTTATTCGATTTCTCTTGGCTATTTGTTTTGTGTACCTCTTTTGCTTCGGTTCTTTATCTTAACTGCCTACAATTGCTGAATCCTGTAAAAATCAGTCCTGAATTGTCTGATCTTTTATGGTATCAATTTTGATGCCCTCACAGTATCTTTTTGGACAATTGGGATATATGAGTATGATTTCTTGCCTTTCATGCTAAGCTTGGTATGGTGGGCAACAGTTTGAATGGGCACCCACCATCAGGTTGCCTTGGAGGTGTTCAGAAATTAAGTTTACTAAGTAATAATCCATTTGGTGAAATCTAGATGAGTAAATTGCCTTTGTGAATTTTTTTGGTAATATTCTGTTGACTGCATAGTTCATATTTTGCAGACTTTGTAAATTGTATGCAAATTCTACTGGTTATTGTTACCTTAATCTCTCATACAATTTGGTTTTTATGGTGTCTTTTTCATGATTCTAGTTTTTTTTTGTTCTGTTTACGTTGAAAATGCAGTTGATATTAAAGACATTAACTTCCCTCTGCAGTCCTGTTTTTCTAAACGATATTACGAATGTTATGAGATTAGGTTAACCGGTTTTTCAAACTTGAAGAAAGATGCAACAAATCTTTCTGGGAAGGTTATCCTGCTGGTTCTTGAGTTGTTGAATGAGAGTGAATCGGATGCTGTATTGGTGAGTTTCGTTCTCTTAGCAATATAACCGTCTTGGTCTCTAGCTGCTTGCTAGGTAGTGAATTTATGGTGTGAATTCTACATCCTTGCAGGAAGGGGTGCTTGATTTGTTATATGTCATTTTAATGTTCTTTCCTCCTGTGCATCGTCACTATGACAATGTGAGTTCACTTTCTGGCTTTGTTTTGTGCTTGTTGATGGTAAAATATATTCCTTCTCTGTTAGTCTTCTTTCATGAATATCAGGATCTTGTTTTGTGTGTGTGTGTGTATATATGTATATCTTGGTAAATTTAGTTTCATTTTTTTGTTCTGGGAATTGTTATAGGATTCACAGTATATGTCTTCAGGAAAACCCTCATTCCGAGCACATCTTTTTGCGCAATGACACTCTTGGGAGGGCTGAGATGGTCATGGACCTCAAGCAATGAATCTGAGACTATTTGCCATCCTATTGCTGATTAGTGCTGGAGAAATGAATGAGATCTATATACCAGGTCATTGCAAAGTGGTGAAATGAATGGGATCTTTATGTCATGGCTTGAAATAACATCTCCAACTGGGTGGTTTGAAGTTTGAACTTACATGTTGTAAGTGATCAATTAGACTTGGTTTTGTGTCTGTTAGAAAAGTGTTTTAGCCACAATTTTGGCTTGATATAAGTGTGTGCTAAGAGAGTTGGTTTTAACCTGTTAGGCAGTATATAGTGTTTTTCCTGTTTGGAAGAAAGAAAGTGTGGCAATAGAGGGAGAATGAAGCACTAGTTTCATTAGGTAACATTAGCAGCTGCATATCGTAAATAAATTGGGAAGTTAGGAATATGTCGGGTTCATATGCAACTAAGAATAGATGAGTACACGGAGGAGAAGCTTGTATTTGCATACATGTGTGAAAGGAAGGTTGGACTGTTGGAGTATGAAATATGAGTTTAGAATGGCTTGGACCTTTCATGTTAATGAATAAATAGCTTAGCCTACATCTCAAGTTTCAGTTAAAGGAATTATTCTACTTCTGTTATGGCTTTTTTGAACAAGACTACAGTAAGACTGCTAACTAGATAAATATCATGACAGGTAGAAGCTGCTCTGGTATCAAAGATTCTTTCAGCAAAATCCAATGCAGATTTATCGAGGGTGAGTGGTGATGGTGTTTGCTCTCTCGCTGTCAACACTCTCTTTTGCTTAATGTTGCATTCTTATGGTCTTTTTGTTCCCGGATACATGGTTTTCCTGTTGCTTGTACAATTTACTTTTTTTCTTTTTTTCTTATTTAGAAAAAAATGGTTTGTTGTTGTTGTTCAGAAAATTGCCCGTTGTTTGGCATTACTACCTAGGATAAAAGGTGATGAAGATAGCTGGTCCATCATGATGCAAAAGATTATAATAGAGATAGATATGCTTCTGAGCAATGCCTTAGAAGGACTAGAAGGAGGTATACCAAGCTATTGTTTATGGTCTATGAGCCTTTTTCTGTTTTGTTTAACATATCATTTATTTGGTGCAGAAACTAAAGGTTCTACTGTTGTGAGGCTGTTAATTCCACCAGGAAAAGATCCCCCTTCTCGATTGGGGGTTCAGTCAAGATTGAGAGAAGCATCAGAACTACCAACAAAAATGTTTCATGAATTGATATTCCCCACAATATCTACTCTGATGCATTGTTGCTGCTTGATGCTTACCAATCCTTTCCCTACTCAGGTCTGATGCTTATTCATTGTTTTTTCACTAGAGCTACTGGAGCATTGTAAGTTGTTTGTCAGATAAGTTCCTAATGTTATTGCTGATGTGTCTAATTTAACAAAGGTAAGTGTTCCTGTTCGCCCTTTGGTTGCTATGCTTGGGAGAGTGCTTACGGTGGATGGTTCTGTACGTGGATCCTTCATGCCATTCACAACTGTCATGCATCAAGAACTTATCTGTGTTGAGCTTCCAGCGCTGCATTTGGACACTTTGGATCTTTTGATTGCTGTTGTTAAGGGAGTACGAAGGTAAGGATCATCTGCATATCATTGTGGCTGTTGTAGCTTATTGAACGAAATTTGAGTACCTTAAGTTTATCTAGTGGGTCATACAGCAACCAAATATCTTAGAAGATGTTATTTGCCCGGATTTCAAAGCTGAATGTAGATTAAGCTTCATGTTTAGCTCAGCGTTGTGGAATTATGGCTGATAGAATGATTCAAGCAGTTTCTTTAACAGTCAGGAAACTAGCTTTCTTAATGGTTTAATTTCTTTTGTTTTGATATTTACCTGCAGCCAGCTTCTACCACATGCTGCCAATGTTGCACGAATTCTCACCGAGTATTTCAGGAGAGCTACATTGCCAGCTATAAGGATAAAACTGTATTCCGTTATCCAGTTATTGCTGATCTCCATGGGTGTTGGTAAGTGGCATTTTCCAACCTCAGTGGTATTCTCTTCTCTTTTTTGCAACATTTAAAATCATTATTTGTCAAGGATTGCAGCTGAACAATCTTGGGAGATAATATTTACATTTAAATGTGCTGATTTTTCATCATGGTTAATTGTTGTGAGCTCCATACACACTGTTCAGTTTGGCATGTTCCTTTTATGATTGCCCAAAGACAGCCAGAAGACATGCTGGAACTGGATTTTGTTACTCCTTTTCCCCACTTGTATCCTGGCTTTTCCTTCTTTGGCATCAATGTACTGATCTGTGCTTGTGGCACATATTGTGCTACGTAGTGACTAACCAGCCTCCATACCATAAAGCTCTAGTCTCTTAATCTAGAGTATTTGTAATTTGTTTTATTATGCTTGCCATATTTTGCCAACATCGTCATTTGTCAGGTAATGAATACCACTTTGTAATCTAGGTGTATTCCTGAGTTGTTTGCAAAGTTCTTTTTTTTTCTTTTTTGTTATGTTTGTTGTTTCCTTTTTATGTTAACATTAATTAGCAGTTATGCATTAATCTTCACCAGAACCTTTTAGGTGGTGCTACTCTTTAGATACTTGTCCTATCAAATATTTTCCTGCATTTCTTATTTGTTGTTCAACATCTCTGGGACTCAATAAGTAACAGTAGTCAGCCCACTATGAACTGATTAAATTGCATACCATTAAAAGTTGGGCTATCATTCATCTGTATGAGTTGACTCAGAAGCTTCTTGTGTATGCTTTCCATTTTATGATGTATAAGTCTACTTCTGGAAATTGCAACTTGTTCAAGTGAGTTATTTTGTATCTTCTAGATTGTCTGACGTACTAGAAAAAGAAAGCTCTTCACTCAAGTTTTGGTCATTGATCATGAATTGTTTCTTGCTTTCTTGCATTGAAGTTTGTTTTCAGTGCTTCCTGAAACCTGAATAAAAATGTTTTCTTGTTATGTAACAGTAGCAATATAATATTTGGTATGTGTCTCTGGCAAGATATCTCAGAATACTTCCCTCAAGCCGGCTAGCATGTTTTCTAATAACTCATATCTGACCAAACTGATAAAGGTCCTAATGCTTCTTTAGTTTGACAAATTATTAGTATCGCAGAAATAATTTCTTTTCGTCTCGAGCATTGTAAAATTTGGCATGTTGGCGTGTTCTCTTTTTTGACATACAAAAATATATGTTTTTATTATGTTTATTGTTGTTTAAGTAAAAATTACCACCAATTCAGTTCTGTTCTTTTAACAGAATGCAAAATTGATGTTTCTGACATTTATGCTCTTGTAAGATCTTTATGTTTGTGGTTTATCTCAAATTGGTCACCAAATAAACTACCTCTGTTATAATGATGACTAGTGAAATGCATACTACAATACACTTTATTAGCCTTTCCTATTTCTTTTTTTCATAATGCTGCTTCTGTGTTGTGTCTCCACCATCTCTGCATTGCACTATGCAAATTCCTATTTGTTTTCCGTGCTTCTGTTCACAAATACAAACTTAATTGTAGTGTTGTACATTTAGTGGGAAGAACAATTTCACATTAATGTTATATGTGGTGGGGCAATAACTACTAAGACTTTTATGCATGGTATGGTATGTGATACAAGACTCCTATTTTAGTGAGAGCTGTTCTTGCTTTGCGCATCTACGACATGCAAAAATTAAAACTAGTTTTGTATGTTATTGTATTTCTGCTTATGGTAATTAGGTTAAACTCTTACTAATTTGCAGGTTTGGGTCTTGATCAGGAATGGCTTTGTACCTTGCTCAAGAATTAATCAACAATGCTTTTGTTGATCTGATTGATAACCCTGGAAGCAATGCACTTTTACCCAGAAAGCACTTGTCAGATGACCAGAGTTTGCTGCAAAGTAGCCTAAAGAAGAGGAAACATGCTTCTGGATCAACAAGGCAACACTCGAATGGTATTGATAGAGAGAGAACAGTAATCAGCATCAAACCAGCCACTCCTCTTTCTGTAAAGATAGCTGCCTTGGAAGCACTGGAAGCTCTTTTGACTGCAGTATGTCTTTCGACACTAGTTGACTATATTGCATATACTTGTTTTACTATAACAAGTTTAATCGATTACGAGCATATTGCTGCAAAAAGAAAGTAATCTTGTGAGCACATCATCCACTTTCCAAAAGTTCCTGTTGCATCAGAAATATGTTTGCTTTTAGAAATGTGTTTGCTTTTGTACTGTGTGCTTCCAAAGGTACCTCTTTTTGGAATGTATACTACAATTTGGAGAAACAACAGACACCGCAAAATAAAAAATCAAAATTTTAAGTTTATTCTAAAAAGTTTTTCTTTATCTTTTTAGCTAGATTGATCTGTATGCAGGAAGACAAGAGATTGTTAATCATGTAAGGGATAAAATTTTGAAGTTAATTATAGAGACTGAAATTTCTTTTTTTTGTCTCATTGGTTGGAACCTTAGAAATAGTATGCATTAAGCTTGATCTCTTAGGTGATGACATTCAAGAGATGAGTTTGTACATTCCTAGAAAATCCTATATTTGATATAGCATGTTGCGTAATTACCTGCAAGTGCTATAAGCTCTTTAGTAATCTTATATGATATATGTTTTTCATGAATTCCTAATAAACCTTCTGGAGTCTAGGGCTGGCGATTGTTGATGCCATTTAAAGTGTATTGCTTTTAAATGAAAAGGAATTTTTTTCCCCTCTTATAGATATTGACATGACTGTGCGATATTAAAATTTGCTGAGGAATGAACCTTGGAGGATCATTTTGAGTCGTTGATATTTGTTGTGGTGTTGGGTGCTTTTTCATAAATCAGTTGTAGAGTTAATTTTATTCATAACTATTGACATGTTTATTGCAATATTATATTTGTTTCATACTGATTCTCTGTGGTTAATTGTCTTCAAAACTATTTCTAGTTACATGTTTATGGCAATCTCTCAAATGTTTCTCCTTCCCAGGGAGGTTCTTTGAGATCAGAATGTTGGCGGTCAGATATGGATTTGCTTTTGATAAATGTAGCGAAAAATGCATATGATGTGAGGTCAGATTACTATAAGTGTTTGGATGCAAATGTAGGGTCAACAATTTCCCGAGAAAATCTCCAGCTGGCAGCATTACGAGCTCTCTTAGCATCTTTGCTTTCTCCATCACATGTTCGCCCTCCATACTTGTCAGAAGGACTTGAACTTTTTCGCCAAGGTAAAATCATAAAGCATTTGATGTTTGTCTATCCCCAAGACATGGGGGATCAGATTTGTGAAACTGATAATTTGTCACCATTTCAAGCATGATTATAGTACTATCCTTGTTTACATTGGTGGGGTTTCCTATATAGTCTTATGGATTATACTTGGATGGTAGTTTTAACTGCCTGTCATAGCTGTTGCTTCCAAAAGGCCTGTATTTCATTGATTGATGATTCTGCTATTGCAGCTTCAGTTTTAGGCTTCCTGTGTTCGACTAATAGAATGTTTACCATGAATGTGGCTATCACTTCTCAACATTATGAGCCTGATAAACAGGACTGTGTACAGTGTTTCCCATTGAAAGAGTTGGTCACTTCTTGAGTACCAATGGATTTGCCAATATGTCACAATGTTGGTACAAAAAATGATGCAGTTAATAATTATTGAAAAATTTGATACTTCACTGAAGCTATCTGATAAGTACTGGTCCTGGATACAGACTGAATTGAGTATAGTAAGCATTTAGTAGTATCCATGTTTTGCAGTTGGTCACCATGCATGGTCTTATTCAAATACACTGGCTTCTAGTTTCTTGGTGCACCTGATTTTTCCATTCTGCCGAATTAGTTTATTATTAACATTCCACCTGATTTCTAGATTATCTCTGATTATTTCTTCTAAGTGATGTTCTGCCTGATTGCCCAAAATATGTTTCTCGTCTTTCATTATTGTCATGTGAATTGCCTGGGGAGTGGGAAAATTTTGCATGTATTATTAGGGAATTAGGACATTGATGACAAAGAAATAGACAGTACTACTAATTCTGCTCATTTTAAGTGTTTTTGTAGATGGCTCATGAGTGTGTCCTTATGATATTAGAAGCATCTAATCTAGGTGTTAGTACATTTAGTTTTCAGGTGAATGATGCCTGGACAAACCCCAGGTATCTCAATTGCAAGAAAACTGACAGAGACTTGGAAATTTCTAGTACCTTAACCTGATGTTCCTAGTCTCCGCTTGCAAACTTCACCAGTTATACTCATTGCTTACCAACTCATTTTTCATCCAAGCACATGTGGCTGTTCAAGTTTAGTGAATGCAACATGTTTTTGCAGGAAAACTGGAAACTGGAACAGAACTTGCTGGATTCTGTGCACATGCATTGCTGGCCTTAGAAGTTCTTATCCATCCCCGAGCCCTTCCTCTAGTTGACTTTCAAGTTTCCACGAGCTCTGCACTTGATGAAGGTTTCATAAAAACATTCCCAGGAAATACATTCCGCAGCAGCCAAAAACCAAGCATTCCTTATTTTCCAATGGGCAATCGAGGAGCAGCAGAGGAAATGGATGAGGATGATGATGATGATTTGTTAAATGGCTGGCTTGGTGCTGGTGAAGAAGAGCAACCTGTTCAGGGTTTGAACATTTCTATGGGAGAAAAACATGTAGGGGTTGATTCAACTAGAGGTCATGAGATTATTGAAGGAACCCAACAACCATCGAGGAAGCATGAAGTGGAAGCATCATGCCCGAGCAAAGAAGAAAATATGGTTGAGTCAGACAAAATGGAAGAGCTTAATTCAGGGAATAATGTTATGTTGCGGACTGACAGGACTGCTCCAGATGAAGGTGAGGCTGCCATCCGCGATGTACCCGGGGATGAGATGGCTCATGAGAATAATGATGTCAGCATGTCCAACACTGTCGCAGGTGAATTTTCCAGTAATTTAGGAGCTCCAGAGGAATTGGGAACCGTTTCGACTGCAACTGTGGTTGCAGTTGATGCGTCTAACAGCTTGGATGTCTCTTATAAGCAAAAGGAGCCAATGCTTGCTTATGATTCTGATTCAGTGTCCCTCGATTCACTACCGGATATTGTTGATGCAGATCCAGATACAGACTAGCTATGTTATCAAAATTTGTGGGTTTACAAGGGTAATGGCCTGTATCTGAGGATTTCCGGGTAAAATCTCTTCTTCTTTTACAATTACATAGCTAACTTATATGATTTCTCATGGAAGCAGATAGAATGGCTCATCATAATGCCCTCTACCTTTTTTCTATGCTTGAGACTCCAAGAAATGGATGGATGTGGGGTACCGAGCATCATCTAGTAAGAGAAGCACAAATCAAGTCTTCTGGGGATTCCGAGGAACAGTTTTGAGGGAAACTGCCCTGATAGTTGCTGATAGGAGTTGACAGATAAGACTCATGATTTATTCTCATAGTTTGTGGTGATTCCTACAATTGTATGTAGTTGAGATTTTTGATCGTGTTTGATTGTTGAAAATTTTGGAGGAAAACATCAGAGCTGGTTTTTTGTGCCCTGCATGCATGGAAATATAATCACATGGCACTGCTGGAAATGGCTAATAAGATTACTTTAATTATCTTTTTTCTTATTGCTTGTATATTGTTTTTTGTTTTAAAATAACCTTTTATAACTCCTTTTTAGGTCTCGTTTTTTTGTTTATCTACGGGCCATGTCCCAACGATTACAGGATTACTCTTTCTTGCGACGAATCCAAACCATTGTTTTCATATGAAGCTTTTTCACAACCCTTTCGTTACCATTGATTTTTTTTTTATTCATAATATTTTATAAATAAAACTAAAAATATTATTTTATTATCTATATTCCTTGTATCATTTTTCCGTTTTCATTCTTTTTTTCCTTCTCTCATAACTCTTTATTTTATTCTTATGGATGTTTGCAATTCGTTCGATCCTTAGCCCCCCTCAATATATATAGAGGAGAAGGATAACAATAAAAAAAGTGTATTTACGTTCATTTATAATATAAATGAGATAGTTTAAAATTTAAAAAAAATAAATAAATAAATAGTAATGATTTAAACCCAAAAAAATCGTTTTTAGGTCTTAATTCTACCATTTCATTGGCCGAGGAGCTTTGCCGCATCGAGCGGTCCAGATTTATTCATGAATTCTGATCTCTTTTAATCACATGCGACGCACGTGTCATGTTCTCTTGGTTCTATCTATAAATTTGGGTTTTAGGGTTTCAGCTTCCGTCGTCCGTCCGAACGGGAGATGAAGCGAGCGCGAGCTAACCAGTGGCCAACGGCTGCGATGGTTGCTTGGCCTGGACAGATAGCTCGGTTCCATGCTTCTCCTTTCCTTTTAGCGTGCCGCTCTGATTGCCATTACACAGATCGTTTTTTTTTTCACTCTGTAAAATCTCTGCTGCCAAATCTCTAATGTTTCGACGATACTATCGACATGATTAATGAGTATGATAAACAGGTACTGGGGGCATTTGTACACATATGCTCTCAGAAAGCATCATACTACATGTTTTGATACATTAGTAGACTATGCAAATCATATCAAAGAGGACGGCAAATTCTTTATGTCCCATAGATATGCTCGCCCTCTGTCTTTCTCATTTTCCACTGCGGTTTTGTTTTCCTTTTTGTGCATTATGAATTGCCAAATGATGTGAACGGGTTTCTATTTCTCACGATGGTCATCTGAGACGTCGTTTTGGCGTCTTGATTGATGATGGAAAATCCTTCTGATGGTCTCTATACTTGTTTCTGAGATTCTGTTACGTCTCCTCCCGATCACTGGCATGATTGAGGAAGGAAACCTTTCTGTAGTTATTGCAATTCATTCTTTTGTTGATTTAAGTTTTGCTTATTTTTAATTTTTTCTCAATAAATAGGCACTATGAGGAAATGCATTCTTTCAATCTGCAAGATCAACTGATCAATGAGCAGAAAAATTTAGTCCTTTTCATTCTGAGTGCCTGATTTTTCTTTGAATTGTTTGACTTCTCATTAACTTAGTTAACATGCTCATTAGATCAGCTGAATGAGGGTAGATAAATATGGGACGTCAATTAATATGACATGAGTAACATATTTATTACTCTCAATTGTGCTCTTTGGTTTATTTTATTTGTCATTTCAAGAACCAAAGTCCTCTTTTCCTAGATTTAATTTATCCGCTAATGATCTATGGGAGTTCTGCTTATGCCTCTGTTCATGACAAGGAACTATGTTTTTGGCTATTATGATCCTGATGGTGAGTACTAGGATTATAAGTTTATGTGCATACATTAGTTATGACGTTATTATTGGTGTTAGATACTTTAATCCTGACATCCAAAATCTAATTTAAATAATTTCTATAAAATCATCCTAATGTTGTGTTTTAGTTGTACCTTTCAAACAAACACCCATCAAAGTGAAATCAATGTTATCATTTATAACTATAATGTGAACAATATGGAACAGTAGGACAAAAGTTTGATCTTAGTTAACTAAAATGTTTCTCTATGGTGTTCACTTATAGGATTCTGTATCTTTATTAATACCATACATTAACTGTCTATTTGTTCTCCAGTTAATTTCTCACACTACAGGTTCACTTTTGCTCCAGATAATTGCTTTGTTGCAGCTTAATTGAATCATGTTGTAGGAAAACATGTTTTCATTCTGATAGTCTCATTTCCCAGGTTAGGAAATTACCTCTCATTCATAATTGCCTCCAAGAACATCCAGACAACATGATGTAAAATGGATGTTCTTAATTTGATAATGTTATTTTGCGTGCTTATACCTACGCAAGCTTTGATTATTCTTGTCGGTGGCTTGTTTTGTACAATTGCTATTTTATATTCAAGAAATATACTTTATCTGTGAAATACTTCTAGGCAGTTGGATTTTATGTTGCATTTGCTCAGTACAAGTTTGATATACTAACAGTTTTATGATTCTGTTTTGGAAGATCGTATTGATTCAGTAGACAAGCGTCTTTTGACTGCTTGTGCGGTGGATGCCAGAACCGGTATCAACATGATGTAGAACATATCGCCATTTGAATTTGATTTATGAGGATAGAGCGGAGGAAATTCTATTTTACAAGTTCACTCTTTTGACAAAGAGAAGAATTTTTATTACCAAGTATCACTTTTCATGTTTGGATGACAGCATCACGCGACAATCACATATCGGAAGAAACGGGAACTCAAAATCTCAATTACTCAGTCGACTGTCTCCTCCTCGAGTAGAATAAGCAAAAAAGATCATTTTACATTGAATTAAGCCTTAACTATATATCCATGTCCTGAGGACCTCTTTTGAATGTGTTTGCAGATTGCGAAATGATGTGAATGGGATTCTGCTTCCGATGATGGTCATCTGAATTGCTGTATCTTGATAGTGTCTAGATCTTTGTGAGTCTACCTTTTCTTCTTCTTTCTCATGTCTGTTGTAAATAGTATTTGCATCTATCATACTGCTTGATTGTAAAAAATAAATATTTTCCTAATGAGTCTTGATCAGGAGGAAATGCTTTATTCTTTTATTCAGAGTTCATGTCCTGAATGATTGTTAACATGCATTTTTTACTTATAATTACTGAATACAAAATGATCTCTTTCAGATTTCCATCACCAGATTGTAATCTCAAACAACTGTTCTTTGTCAAATCCAACTCCTTGTCTACGTGTTGGTCTTTTGTTCCACACTAAAACTCGGAAGAGTTCCGCTGAATCGAAATGCACGCTACTGCTGAATTCGATCCACTAGCTGCAGTTCTATTAAATTCGAGTGTTTCTAAGAGTAATTGGATCGGATCTTAATTTGATTTGGCAGTATGTCATTAAGCTTTACGAGCTCTCATTAAGCATTAATTCCTATCATCAAACTGAGTCCTTTGTTACGGCACGACATTTAAAGCTGTATTCTACGATCGTCGAGACTATTCATTGCAATCACACGTGGCTCGAGATATGTCCTCCTCGGAGCCCTTCCCGCCCGGCTTTCAAACGTGGCGGGCTGGCCTAACCAACTGCCTTCTACCTGCTCTTGCACGCTCCCGACTCCTTGTATTGCTTTGTTTCCTCTCCAACCAAAAACCCTAGCGGAAAAGAGCGAGAGCGAGAGAGAGAGAGAGAGAGAGAGAGAAGGAATACCTAGCGGTGGCGATCTCGATGATCAGGGAGGCAAACATAAGACGCCATCGGATGGGGAAGGCAGGATCAGGGCTGCTGTTCCCCGTCTTCCTCCACGACGCCGTCCTCTGCTCCAGATCGGCGCTGTCCTCCTCGGCCCAGGTGTGATCTCGCTATGATCCTTTTTTCTTCTCGTCCTCCTTTATCCTTCATATTTCTAGATCTTTTCTGTCGTTTATCCATCTATCATATCGCCGGTTCCTACCTTTTAATTGTTTGGGATGTGCGCTCGCAACCATCATTGCGACTAAGCCATTACCCTCGGAGAAAGAGAGAGGTTCGATGAGAGTTCCGATGAATTGGCGGGCCTCATCGGCGGTCTCCGCCGCTCCTGCGGCCCGGTCGTCGACGGCTCGCCTCTTATTTGGGTTGGTTGTTCAGATTTGAAATTTTTTATTTTTAATCATTAAAACCTTCAACTCTTTATTTATTACCAAACATTCTCAAATTTTTATGAATTATAGAAAACTCTTATATATTCATTTTTCGATATCTGTTATAAATTTTTGATATAATATAATATAATATATTTATACTTTAATTTTTTTCGAATAATCAATCGATCGATTCAACGATTGATCCAACAATGATCGAGAAGAGAAACGCATAGCATTGCATTACAAGTAGAGTAACCCATGGTTTGATTTATACAAATGCCGAGGGCAAGTGTGTTCCGCTCAAGCTTGCACAGGCCATTAGTCCCCACGTTCCTCAAGTGGCAGGTTGGAGAAGATGAGGCGACTGCAGACCGTATGACCGCATGTTAGAGACTGCGCCACTCTCTCACATGAATTAAACTATCATAGATGAACTAAATAGAACCGGATTACATAAATATTTTTCTAAGTTGATGTCGGTCGGTTGCCTGTGGAGGGAACAACTCGAGCCAGGCCGAGAGAGAGAAGAAAAGGTAGAAAACTTGTACAGGAAATCCATGGCAAGTCACCGCTGCTACATCTACGTCCTACCCCTCAGACAAGTACATTATCTATATAGAAATAGATATGTAGTGGATATGTAGATGTGGGGATCCTTCACTAGAGTGGGGTATCTCCTCATGACCGGAGCAGACTCCGGATGATCTCGGCCTCGGCGCTGTTGTTGTCCATGGTCGCCATGAGCGCCGAGAGGCGGCCGCTCAGGTCGTCCACCTCCCGGTTGAGGCTTCTTATGTAGTTGCACGTCTCCTTCAGTAGCTTCGCCGCTGAAGCCTGCAGCACGGAACACAGACACAGAGGTCAGATGTGGCAGTGAGGAGTTGGGTCGGGGTGGGAGGAGAACGTCAGTCTGGTGCCCGCTTACCCTGCCGCCGCCTCGCCGGCGGGCCTCCGGAAGGAGGGACTGCAGCTTGGAGATGAGCTCATTGATCTCCTCCTCGGAAACCCTCGACCTCCTGCTCGACATCTCGGCACAATGGAAAAGGGAGAGCGGTGTGGGAGAGACAAAAGGAAAGAGGGATGGAGGGCGAGCTTTATAGAACAAGTAGAACAGAGAGTTGTGTGAAGAAGAAGCATTATATGGAGAAAGGCCATGGAGGCCCAGATGTTCCCCCGCTGTTTCTTACCCTGGTCCCACTCGGTCACTCACTCCCAACTTGCCACGTGTCTGTAAAAAAAATAATACCCTTGTCTCTTCTTCCTCCTCCGGTCTTCTTGCTGTCCGAGCCATTAATAACCCGAACGTTCGCAAGCCTTGTAGTCCGAAGATGCCTTGTGAGCTTGTCTCCCCCCCATGTCCCGGAAGGAGAACACGAACCTTGTCGCGTCGTCTGGGGACCTGCCAAGTAACATAATCCGCAGCTACCATTGTATATTTCGATCCACGCTAGTAATTAGAATACTAATCTTGTGATTTGGCCGCATTCACCGAATCCGTCGATCGTGCTAATTCGCGCGCGTCGACCGCAGGACGGTGACAGGGTGGCCGGCGTGGTTGGCTCGGGTCCGGACCGGTCCGGCTCGGGACACCGCACGTGTCGGGTACGACGGCGAGGGCCGCGTCGACACCCCGGCGGTACACCCATGTGACCGATGCCTCGTGGGCCCCCGGCCCATTAAGACGATCATGTGACTCGGTCTCGCCTCCGTGAAGGGTTTCCTTCTCCATCCCCCTCCCTAAGAAACCTCCACACTGTAGCTGTTAGGTAACTACATATCGAGTGGTTTCTCATGTGACCAGTTCTACTTTTAGGCACCCACATGGGAGGCACACAATGACCCTTTGTTCCACAGGAACAGGAAAGAGACGCAGTTGAGAGGGAAGGGCAAGCATGGGGCCAAGAGATTGAGAGAGAGAGAGAGAGAGTGCGAGAGAAGGAAACAGCAGTGCTACTATATGTGGAGATGGGAGGGGAGGGCAACAGCGGCTGGCCACCATATATATCCAACAAGCCCACATGCGCTTTAACTCGCCTTTGTCATATGAACTAACTGACCAACATTTACATACATGGCGTACGAACTCGTGATGCCATGCGTGTCGTCGGCACATGGTCTCCACCTCGTCTCATGTCGAAACCTTGTCACGCTTTCTGCGTGTGCCATATATATATATATATATATATATATATATATATATATATATATATATATATATATATATATATATATATATATATATATATATAGTATGAAGTGATATGAAAAGGCAAGAGAGGCCCCACCGGAAGTCCGTGTTGCAGGGCTGAGGCACGTCCTTTATGGACGTGATTGCATGGGTGCATGGGATGCGCCCTACGGTTGGCACCCAACGTGGTGGTGTCTTCGAGGGGTAAAGCCACCCGCTCCAAACGCCGCAGAGAAGCGAAGCGGAAGAGCCGGGGGAAACGCTGTGGCGTGCGGCTGAGCTAAGCCTGAACGAAAAAGGTGGGAGGGAGCGCTCCGACTGCCACGGGCGGTTAGGTTAGGTAAACGTGATGAGGGGCCGCCGAACATCAGTGGGCCACGTGTCCTTACACGCATCTTAAAGCCCGGATCCCAATCTTCATCTGGACCTGCCCCTGAGTTGGTTCGACCAGATCAGATTGGAAGTTTTCTTTTTGCCCCTTTAGATGGTGAAGCACAATTCATGTGAACTCACCAACTCCACCCATTTCAATTTCTTTTTTCTGTACAAGTCAAGAAATGTTGACTAATTTGCATGTTGGTTGGAGTTCACACCGACCCCACGGATTCTGTCCCTCTATTTAAACCAACATTACAAACCAGAAGCCTTAAGTCAACCTCACTCTTTCTTAACAATTCAATCCGATTATTAATATACATAATACATATTAAATAGTAGATGTTGTCTCTCTGTCTCTTTATATATATATAT